AGGCCCCTCCGCCACATCGACCAATAGCAGCGCCCCATCCACCATACCCATCACTCTCTCCACCTGAGGGGAAGGGGTAGGTTGGGGGGAGTGGGGGGGAGGGAGAGGGGTTGGGGCAGCGAGAGAGGTGTGGATCCAAGAGGGTCTGAGCCAAGGGCCCCTCTGCCACGTCCACCAATAGCAGCGCCCCATCCACCATGCCCACCCGCTCCACCTGTAGCGGGCAGCGGGAGATGAAGGGGGTGGTGGTGGTGGTGGTGGTGGCGGCGGCGGCGGCGGCGGTGGTGGTGGTGGTGGTGGTGGTGGTGGCGGTGGTGGTGGTGGTGGTGGTGCGTGGGGTAAGGCGGAATGATGATTTTATCGACTGAAAATCACGTGTGCGGGGGGGAAGAGGGTGTCACGCAACAGGGTGGTGTGGTGTGGTGCCCCCACGACTCGATAGACCGAGGGCAGACCTGACCTCCGACTCACCTCTCCCCACCAAATCGCATGCCCTGGATTCTACCTGACCAAAGTGTCACCTTTCTCACAATTTCACCCACAGAAGATGTCACCTCCCTCGGATTTCACAAACCCCCCCCCTTCCCCCCCCCATATCTCACCTTCCTTGAATCTTAACTCCCTCGGATCTCACCTCCCTCGGATCTCACCTCCCTCAGATCTCACCTCCCTCAGATCTCACCTCCCTCGGATCTCACCTCCCCTCCAAAGTCGGCGTGGCCAGGCGTGTCCACGAGGTTGAGCGTGGTGGCTCTGAACGTGACAGATGTGTACTGTCACAATCGCACAAAGTCACAATCATAGACGAGAAATAATAGAGAAGGAGGAGAGAGAGTTGAAAGTGCTTAAAGTTGCAGGTGTCAAGGTTTGGGTTCGGGTTCAGGGTTTTGGATTCAGGTTTCAAGGTTTGGGTTCAGGCTTCATTTTTCCATTGAAGAATAACCAGGAAAGTTGAGTGCAAGTGGGACGTGTGAAAACCTGGAAGTGACAAACATGGCTTGCCAACCGCTACCTTGCTTGCCCAGTCTTGAGGTAATGTTGCCTCCCGGTGCTCTCGCCTGCTGTCTCTTGCCGTCTCGTGCCGTCTCGTACTGTGCTGTCTGGATTACATCTCAAAGCAACAAGTGATTGGAACGCGCACCTTAGACGCGATCGTGATTCCTCGTTCTCTCTCCAGAGCAATCGAGTCCATCACTCGATCGCACGGCAACTCCGACGATCCCGACCCGCCTCCGCCGCCGCTGGCGGAGGTAGTGGGGGCAGCAGCAGAGCTCGAGGCGCGGATGAGGCGATCCATGAGCGTCGTCTTGCCGTGATCGACGTGCGCGATAATCGCTACATTGCGAATCGCGTCGTTACGAAACGCCTCGTGCGATTCGGCGACCGGAGTCGCTGAGGAATCATCTAGGCCAATCGCGTCAGCTGCAGCGCCAGCGGCGCTGGTGCTGCTGAATCTGTAGCTCCTAGACGGACTAGCGTCTTGGCAGCCGCCATAGTGCGGCACGTAGGATACTATTGAGCTGGCGGACGCATTCCGAATCAGCGAACGGTTCAGATTATTCGGCCCAAGCTCTAGACGACCTGGATCCTGTTCAGCGGATCGGATCCATGAGCAGGAGCTTAAAGCCCTGCTGACGTGACACAGGAAGGAGTCGGCGCCACCGGCAGCAGAGGAGCTGCTGGCCGCTTGATTTCTGCGCCTCGCGAGAAATCCGCGAGCCGCGGAAACGAAGAGCCGAGCGCCAGTCATTCTGGCCTCCAGGAGCTACTCAGGCCGAATGGAAAGTACTCCTAGCCCGGTCTGGTTTCTGTAGTGCAAGCATCCAGATCGCGTCGCAGGAGGGTAATTCGAGTGCCTGCCCTGATGTTGTCGCGAAAGTGTGTAGATGTCTACAGAAAAGTTTTATGAGTTTCGTTTTATGTTATGATTCAAGGTCATGTTTCTGTGGGATAGATTTCATTTGACATCTACAGCTAGGCCGTGTTATGGTTTCTTTCCAACAAATTTCTTTCCTGCCAGAGAGATAATTCGAGAGTAGTTGCATAAACTCCATATTCCAACAAGCATACAGACATGCATAAACCCTTCCTAGAAGTGTCTTACTACCTCAAACATCAAAAGACCATCGCCAAAACCCGAAACAAAGTATTGCTTCCTAAGACATCTACAGCCGCATGTCGACCAAGTAGGGCACGTCCACCCATGGTGCTCCCTCTCCAAACTCCTGCTCCCCACCCCCTCGCTCCACCCACTCCGCCTCGGACTGACCCAACGTGTATGCCGCCCGCAAAAGAATCACCCGAGCCTGTGCCTTCTGCAAAGCTACCCCTACCCCACCAAGTATTCCGAGAAACCCGAGCTGTTGCCCCTTCCCACACCTTTGTTAAGAGCCACCTTTACTTGAACCTCCCCCTGCTGCCGTAACCACTGTCGAAAGCTTCCCCCCAAGCAACCCCAAGTCTCAAGAATCAACGGGAAGAAACGAACCCCCCTGTGCTGCCGCAGAAAAGGTTGATAATCCGTCGCCTTCCTCTTCTCTCGCTCCTTGGCAGCAAAACCTACTGTCCGCCCACACTGCCCATGCTGCTGCACCGGTAGCGAAACCGGATCCACGACGCTCACCTCGAGCGCATGTTTTTCCCCGTCCATTGGTTTCCTAACCGCCACATCCACTCTCTTCCCCGGCAGAAGCGTGTCATCCTCGATCGTAACCACCCCACCCGATGCCTTGGCTATCTTAGCAACAACGAGCTTCACTGCATCATGAACACGAGACGGGGCGTACTGGTACTTGCACCGAAGAGCATGGTGCGGATCTGACGGGTCCTTGAACTCCACACCGCAAACACACTTGCCAGCAACCAGAAGCTGGTGGACGGGAAGGCCCAAACGGATTGCCGCCGAAATGCCCCACTCCACAGGGGTGAAAGTTGCGTCATCATGCGCTGGAACTGCGGACACCCATGCTGCCGAACCCGGGCCCTGAAGGGAAGTCAAATGGGCCAAGGTAGCATCATCGCGGGCCATGCGCCGCAGAGACTGAAGACTTTCAACCGCCAAGCGACGCTGCTGCGCTGGGAAAAGCTGGAGGGGGGGATTTGTAGTGCAGAGCCCCAAACTCGGCAATTCCTGCCTGACAACAGGCGGGAGCTGGTCAAGGGCCTTGGTAAACCAAGGGTCCAGTAAATCCCCAGCCGGCGGAGTGCGGAAGAACTCACTGAACATCTGCTCCTCGCCCGCTACTCCCAGCTTGACAACAGCACTCGCAGCCTGGCACCACCCACAGACGTAAGAGAGAGGGCTAAGAGTTGCTGCTGAACGAATGCCAAACCCGCCCAAACGAGCCGGGAGGTGCAGCTGCAGGTGAGCCATGCGCGACCTATCAGGACTGAAGTCCCAAGTGTCTGGCAGGAAAAGTTGCTCAAAGCACTCTTCCAAAGCCCCATCCCAATCTCTGAAAGCGTCAAGAACCTCAGGACGAGGGGGAACAGTGCGAGTCAAGAAGAGCGGCCGCGCAGACACGGCAACAGCCAACAAGTGGGAGGCAATCTGGGGGTGGTTCAAAATAGGAAGCCAAGGTAGAGGTGATCGCAGCTGCAAAAGTCTCTCCCTCAAGCGCGCCACCTCCCAATCCTCCTCTCCAATAGGTACCCCCACCACTGTTAACCCCGTCCACGACTGCTGCATTCCCAGCGGAATATCCCCAGACGCTGCCGCCTCCGCTCTTTCCCACATCCTACACTTGTGCGATTGCACCTCCAAGCCCACCCACTCCAGTCGCTCCCGCAAGACATCGTACGCCGCCAACACCCGCTCCCGCGGGCCAAGAACGTAGGTGTCATCAGCGTAGCTCAAGAAAAGAAGATCAGGGAAATCCTTCATTGTAGGCCCCATAACCAACTGCTGCGTAAAAGCAAAAAGGAAGGGACCAAATGGATCCCCCTGTCGCGAACCCCGCTCGGACGCCAGCATCTCGACAAAGGGGCCTGTGCGAAGGTACAGACCGCTGGGCACCCCATAAAAGACGCGTAAGAAAGGGATAAGGCCAGCAAAAGGAGAATCGCGGAGGCCGTCGAACATCACGTGCCGATGGAACGAGTTGAAGGCATTCGCTACATCGATCTGCAGCGCGCACCACGTCGGATGAACCGCTACAGCCGAGCGGAAAGCATGCGCCAGAATCTCCACCCCCGACTTAGTCCCCACCCCTAGTTGGTTACAAGGAGCGAAGTAGGTCTCCATGTCGGGACGAAGAAGAACGCATAACGCACGCGCCAGAATCCGAGGGAGCACCTCTCCGATAGCCACTGGGCGGACGTCCCCGTTCGGCTTGAATAACCCAACCAAGTTCGAGGCTGCAAGCCAGGGCCGCACCCGCTCAGAAACGCATCCCGAAATCCACTGCCTGAACACCTCCAACAGATGCGGGAGATAGGAAGGCTCCGAGAGAAATGTGTCTCGGAGGTGCTCTGTCATCCATCCTGAGGGGCCTGGTGCTGAGGCTCGCGCTGCGGAATGAATAGCATGCTTGAGGATGTCTTCAGTTAGGTGGGGGAGATGAGAAACGTCTATGCGAAAGTGCTCCACCCACTCAGGAACTGGCACCTCACTGGCCGGGTGCTTTGCTGTCAGCCGGTCTACTGTTAGTTGAGAGGGCTGCGCCAAGTCGCCCACAGTAAGGCATGCTAGTCCTCGACTCCATTCCCCCACTTGGCACCTCGTGCGACATCGGGCCAAACGGATGGCATCAGCATCTCGCTCAGGTAAGGAGAAGGCAAGAGGTCGCGCCGCCGGAGTCAACGCGGCAGAGGCAGCCTCGAACAGCTGTTGCCATTCCCCTGCCCAGAACTTTCCGAGACGCCCTACTATGGCTGCCCTTCGTCCAAGACCCTCCTTCGCGGGGACTCCCAAAATGAGGCGCGGGAAGGCCAGGAACATCAGCGTCGCCGCCTCATCTCCAGGGGAAGCCTTCAGTCTCTTGAGAATGCAGCACAATGCATCAAGCACCCCCAGTCGCGCCCGCTGCGGGACCCGACGAAGAAGCTCTCCCGACACAGAATGAATACTGAAAAAAAGTCTCCCAGTCCCACGAAGGCACCGCCCCCCACACCTCCTCGCCGATATCCCGCGGAGGTACTGGATCTGCCCCGAAGACCTCGCTCAGGTTCGGGGAGGAAGTAAGGGCCTGAGCCCGCCGCTGAGCATCTGCCGCTTTACATGCAACTATGTGGCGGGAGGCCGCACCACCAGGCGGAAATGTGTGAAAGCAGAACTCGCAAGGGACACAAGTTGGAGCAAGTGGAGCCGTGTCAGGAGTGGCTGAATTCTCCGCAACCCCCGGTGTGGGGCTTTCCGGAGGGATCGGGGGGGGCTGCTGCTGCTGCTGCTGCTGCTGCCGCTGCCGCACGCCCTGAAGTGCTGCCCTCGCCCCCAGCTGCCCCCCTGCGTGCTGCACGCCCTGAGGTGCTGCAGTCACCCCCTGCTGTCCCGCTGCCTGCTGCACGCCCTGGGGTGCTGCAGTCACTCCCTGCTGTCCCGCTGCCTGCTGCACGCCTTGAGGTGCTGCAATCAGTCCCTGCTGTCCCCCTGCCTGCTGCACGCCCTCAGGTGCTGCAGTCACTCCCTGCTGTCCCGCTGTTTGCTGCATGCCCTTGGGTGCTGCAGTCACTCCCTGCTGTCCCGCTGCCTGCTGCACGCCTTGAGGTGCTGCAATCACTCCCTGCTGTCCCCCTGCCTGCTGCACGCCCTCAGGTGCTGCAGTCACTCCCTGTCGTCCCCCTGCCTGCTGCACGCCCTGGGGTGCTGCAGTCACTCCCTGTTGTCCCCCTGCCTGCTGCACGCCCTCAGGTGCTGCAGTCACTCCCTGTTCCCCTGACAGTGGCCGCCGTCGCACCAGCTGGCCTCCCGGACGTTGGCTCGTAAGCGGCCGCCCCAACTCGCCCTCTGCCTGCTGATCCTGCTGATTGCCCGACCGCTGCTTGCCCTGGCCTCCGCGTCGCCTCCTGCCCTTGCCTCGTGGCAGTTGGTCGTCCAAGGGCCCCTGCGCCTGAGCGCCCAGCTCACGCAGCTGCTGCCCTCTCTGATCCGTTTCCCCTATCTGCAGCTCCCCAGGAGGAACAAAAAGATCTTGTTGGTGCTCCCCACTGTGGCCCGAGAGCTGTGACACAGGCACCAAATCTGTCTCCATTTCTTGCTGCTCCACTCGAAGTGGGCTCGCTACACCCATGACTTCCCATGTATCACCCACCCAGGTGCCCAGCTGCTGCCCCTGCTGCTCTCCCGGGTGCTGCTCCTCCAGCCTCAGTTCTTGCTGCTCCCCTGGCTGCATTTCCTGCTGCTCCCCTGGCTGCATTTCCTGCTGCTCCCCTGGCTGCATTTCCTGCTGCTCCCCTGGATGCATTTCCTGCTGCTCCCCTGGCTGCATTTCCTGCTGCTCCCCTGGCTGCATTTCCTGCTGCTCTCCTGGATGCATTTCCTGCTGCTCCCCCCGTTGTATTTCCTGCTGCTCCCCTGGCTGCAGCTCCTGCTGCTCTCCTGACTGCATTTCCTGCCGCTCTCCTGGCTGCATTTCTTGCTGCTCCCCCCGTTGCATTTCCTGCTGCTCCCCTGGCTGCAGCTCCTGATGCTCCCCAGGCTGCAGTTCCAACTGCTCCCCCATCTGCATTTCCTGCTGCTCTCCTGGCTGTCGTGCCTGCTGCTCCCCCATCTGGATTTCCTGCTGTTCCTCCCCTATCTGCATGTCCTGCTGCTCCCCTGGCTGCCGTTTCTGCTGCTCCCCTGGCTGCCGTTCCTGCTGCTCTCCTGGCTGCATTCCCTGCTGCTCCCTCATTTGCAGTTCCTGCTGCTCCCTAAGCCACAGTTTCTGCTGCTCTCCTGGCTGCCATCCCTGCTGACCTTCGCCCAGCTGCTCATGCTGCCGGGGAGGCAGCCCACCCTGCTGACTCCGCTGTTGTTGCCTTTCAAACTGCTGCTCCTGCAACTCACTTGGCTGCCTTTCCGACTGTTGCTCGTGCTGGCCCGCGAGGCGCCCTCGTTGAGCAGTCCCGCTACGACCACGACCGCGACCTCGACCACGACGGCGCACGCCCTCTTGCCCCGTGCTCGCGGGCTGCACACCTTGTCCTTGCGCGCTCCGAAAGCGAAAAGTATGTTCCACAGCTCCAGCCCATCCCTTTAGAGACGCCCCCGTTCGTGCCTTCGGGAAGGGATTGATGTCTCTAGTCTCCCCTGCAGCCACCGGCAGACCCTGCTGCATCGCCGACAGCGTTTCCGGTTGCTCCCTCCCTGGTTTCCGTCCCTGTTCCCCACGCTCCCAATGCTCCTCCTCGAGTAACTCCCCCTGGACCTTTGTCGGCAGGCCCAGCTGGCCCTCCGCCAGACGGCTCGGCTGCCTCCTCAGCACCTTTTCCGGCAGGCCTGCATCCGTCACCCCCTGCTGCCCACCTGCCCTGCACTCCCGGCCCTCATCCGCCAGCAGGGCCCCCTGCACCTCCTGCCTCCCCGCTGTCGACTCCGCCTGCTCTGCCGTCGCCCACTCTTGCCGACCGCCCGTGCCAGCTACCAACAAACGCCTCAGCTCCTGCCGTCGTGCCAAGCGCGGTCCAAGTGGAGCCCTGCTAGGACCCACTGAAGCTCCAAGAGTGCCGGGCGACTCTGTTGCCGTGGCACCAAGTGGAAGCTCGCGCCGCCGCCTATTATGCAGCTCCTGCAAGTGCCGGCGTTGCGCCTCCCACGCCGCCACTGCCCTGTCCATCCCCGGATCACTTGGTTCCTGCCCACGCCCATCTACCTCTCGGGTGTCTTGTGCATCCACCAGCCCAGAGGATGCGTGTGGGCAATTGGGCGATGCTTGCTGGTCTACCGAGGGCGTGCGTGGGGTAACAGCCGCCTCCCGCTGTTCACCAACCGTGAGTGGTGCCTCAGCCAAAGGGGGCTGAGCATCCCCATTACTAAGCCGCTGCGAAGTTCCTGAGAGCGGCGGTACACCGAGCATGTCGTTGGTACTCATGGGGGCGGCTGGTGCCTCGCGGTGTCGTTTGCATGGTGTCCCCTCCGAGCAAAGTCGGTCTACCGAGCTCAGGCGCCGGAGACCGAGGAGGAGTGGCTGCGTAGGGCCTACCCAAGGCCGCTTGAGAGTGTTTGCTTGGGGCTGCGCTACATACTCCCGAGCGCTAGTGCCTGAGTGCCTGTCTGGGTCAGCAAGTGCTTCCGCCTCGCCATGCGGTGCCTGCGTAGGTGTGTGCTCGTGCTGCAAGTCGGCCATGCCGTGGATCCTGTAGCGTCTGTCTAGATCCGCGCTCTTCAGTTCCAGCTCCTAGCAACAAGAGAGCCCGGTGTGCCCGTGTGGCGGGGTAGCGAGAAACCGAACACTGCTAATCTTGCTCCAAGCGGGGAAAACCTGGTTGTGCACGTGGTAACGAGGAAACGCACACTGCAGTTCCTGCTCCTAGCGAGGGAAAACCAGCTGCACACTCGGCTACGCGAAGACGTCCACTGCAGATCCTGCTCCTAACGTGAGTCGTGGCGTCAGGGGCGAAAGCAACAACCGTCCACTTGGGTCCCTGCTCCTAGCGTAAATCGCAGCTATGGCGTGAAACCGTCACTTCACTACGCGCTCCTACGTGGAATCGCTTCAACGTCAAGTCTTGGATTGTGCTGACGTCGACTCACCTGCTTCTGACACGGCAGCGGCTTGGCGCAATGTTTCTAGGGCAGCACCTCTCTTGACACCGTCAGCTTGGATTTCCCGCCAAAAGCATTTGGATTCGCTTCGTGACGCCACCAGGTTTGGTAATCTGCGCTGCTGTCATCCTGAGCCGAAGAAGCTTGGCTTGCGGACGGCGTGCACTGCTGCATGCCCACAGAACGACAGGTCAGGACCCGGTAAAATTGCTCGTTTCGGGGGGAGATCGATCCTGTCACCGCACTGAGACCTTGCGTTTTGCATACAGAAAGTACACAACCGTTTACAACCGCGCAAAAAAATGATCCTGAGGCGATCGATTCTCTACTTTTACCGCATCCTCACGTTATCTTTCCACTTGGTCGAGATGAGGCAGACACTCGGCGAACTACGTTAGCGCTTATCTCTTTTACCCTGCGATCCGTCATTGTACTATCTATCGGCAGTGATAAAACCAGATTTCTGTTTTTACCGTCATTATAATATAAATACATAGCTTCTGAAGTACACCGCACGTGTAGCGCGCAGCTATAGTTGGGGAGCTTGGGCTCACAAGTCGAGATAATGGCGGCCGCAACTATCCGCACTCCCGGCCTCAACTACAGGCCGCGGAACCCTACATTAGTACGCTATCTCTCAAGCGCCGGTTCCTCTTCGCAGACTTCCTTCCTGCGAACTTTTTTTCCCGGTAACCACCGCTTTGAACGTCACCGCCAGTTCGACTTACCTCGCGAGAAAAGACGGCTGGTGGTCGTTGAAGCGAAGATTTCGAAAGCCGACGACGCGGCTCGCGACAGGCGGAACCTGCAGAGACGACACGATGGCTGGCGGGGGGAAAGCGCGAAAAAGAAATCAACGGCTAACACTAGCTCATCTGCCAATAGCCCTCCCACCGAGGTCCCTGCTAATTCTTCTCCTCCTACTGCTGATTCCCCTCCCGTTGATTCTAGTACCTCCGTGCCTGCTACTACTGGTTCGGTAACAGCTGCTGCCCCCGAACCTGCTGATACCTCCGTTCCTGATGCCGTACCTGCGGATGCTTCTGCTTCGGAAACGGCTGTCGCAGCGGAATCAGATGCATCAGCAGCCGCAGCCGCAGCCGCAGACACAGCCACAGCAGCAGAATCAGTACAAGTTGCGTCTCCTCAAGACGTGCCACCAAGCGAAGCACCATCAGCAACAAATGCAACGGAGACTCCTTCTCCCGCCATTTCTGCGGTAGCGCAAGAGGCTTTAAGTCGCGCTCAACGTGCGTCCAGCAGCGCATGGCAGAGCCTAGCGACGGCTGCTGCCGAGCCTGTCGCCCTGCCGAAGCAGCTGCAGGAAAGCGTGCAAGCCCTGCCTCTCCCGCCGAACCTGAAAGGGAGGCTCGGGATCGCGGGTGGCTCGGCCGTGCTACTAACGAGGGGTCACCTGGCAGCGGCAGTGCTCGCTGGTGGCCTGCTGGTCAAAGGAATTCAGTCATGGGTGAAAGCTAGGTGAGTTTCGGTTTTTTTTTTCTTTGTATGGGAGTTTTTCTCAGTTGACAACAAAAAAAAAATGCCTTATCGCTGTTGGCATGCTGGTCAAAGATATTCAGTCATGGATGAAAGTCGGGTGAGTTTCGGTTATTGTTTCTTTAAATAGGAGGTTTTCTAAATTGACATAAAAGTCTCTCATCACTGTTTGCCTGCTTTGTCAAAGGGTGTAGGTCATGGGTGGCTGTGTGCGTGTTGATCTCTAGTTTGTTTCACTTCGTGGTCAAAGGGCTTCGGTCATGGATGAAAGACAGCTGAGCCGTGGTTAGTTCTCTACTACATGCATTGGAATTTTTAACAGCTTCAGTTCAGTTGTGGCGAACGTTCAGGTGAGCCTTGGTTACTAGCCTTTGAGGCGCCTCAAAAGTCATGGGCGAAGGGCAGGTGAGCCTTGGTCCTGATTCTTTGATCATCAGAGCGGAGCGGTCTCATCCATCCTTGAAGCCCACGTGAGGTACCTGTACGGTGAGGTGAGTCGACTCCTTGTGCGCACGGGGAAGGAGAGAGGGGGGAGGGGGAGGGGAAGAAAGGGGAAATGGGAAATGGAGGTCAGCTGGCAACGTCATTGCCTGTTATTTGGCTGCTGCTGAAAGGTCTAGCTGAGTCATGGGTGAGCTAACTGAATGCGCACGAGAATACGCTTTCTTTTTATTGATTTCAACCGTGACCAACATCTCTCCACACACCTCGGATCCCCCCCTCCCTCCCCCCCCCCCTCCCCCAACCTTATCCATCCGTCCCCACCCACGACTGTTGCCGTTTCTTCTCTCAAATCCGCCTGTCGTGACAGTGAGTCCACCCACTGTATGCTAGATTAACATGAATATTTTTAAATTCACAGCAGTGAGAATCCATTTGAAAATATTCCCACGTCTGCCCTCTCTTCTCTTTCAGAGCCACTGCTCTCAACAGTGAGTCCACCGTTCCTGCGCCTCTCCTCCCTGATTCTCCGAACCTGCCTACTATACCGGACCTCCCTCCCATCGTACCTACAAAAATCACAGCAAAGGATGTCCCCAATCTCCCTGTTTCTTCACCTCCAAGTCAACTTCCTGAAAAAGCTATAGCTCCAGTGCCTGTGCCAGTCATGGCTTCTGCATATGTAGCAACTGCATCCGCTTCATCTTCATCATCAGCAGCAGCAGCAGCAGCAAAATCGTCAGCAGCAGTAGCAGCAGAATCATTGCCATCAGCCGCAGTTGCACCCTCGTCAGCCGCAGCAGCTGCTGCAGCAAAGGAGGCAAGTACACCACTACCAGCGACACTGATCGAATCAGAACCACCCTTTGAGATATTCACTAATCCTGACGACACCGGAAGCAGGGCAGAAAGCAGGGAGGAGGAAAAGACTTTGCTCCCCCCTGCATTCTTCAAATTCACTGACTCCCTCCCTCCGTTACCTTTCCCCTTCAAAAATTGGAGCCCTTTTGGAAAGGCTCCTGGTGTGAGTCCAATTGATATGGACGAAATAGACCGGTTGGCAGCAGCTGCAGCATCTAAGGGTGACGTGTCAGATTCGGAGATCGACGACCGTCCAAGGCTGATAAAACTGCAGCAAGGTAGGCGTTTGAATGCACTCATCATTTTAAATATTTTGTTTTGTTTTTTTCTCTAGTTGTTGATGTTGTTTTGTTGTGTGATGCAGACAACGCAATGGCGTGGTTCGCGTTGATCACGGGCTTTCTCGTGCTCGTCGCGTACTCGTGGAACCCTGCCAATCCGTTGAATCCTTGAACAAGAGTGTCCCGTTTTAACATAATCACATGAACGCTATCCCGTTTAGTACAGAAAAATAGTTGCCTGTGTCACTGTAAGGGGTGATTTGAGATTGTTGAAGGCGCAGGACTTGATTGACTGGGATTGACACTTGAAATTTGTGTCGTGCCTGCCACGCTTAGACATTACCTTCTCCACCTGGGAGTAATTAGGAGGAAGACCAAAATAAGCTAAAACCGTTTTATCTCCTGACAGCCTGGCCGCTGACTGGACATCAAGAGAAGCAGTTTCAGATCGCCTTCCTGCGAACTTGGGACAGGACAGCCCCCAAAAGTACAACTATCTGGGTCCAGCGTGGCAGATTTCACGTTGCTTCCACGCTGCTTTCACGTTCTCACCTACTCTCCAGTGTGCGATCAAAATTTCCTGCACGACTCCATCTACGATCTGTGATCGCATCTCAAATCTAGTTGATCAAGCCCAACCGTCCGATCATGAGGGGTGTTCGCACGTTGGGGACCTCTGAACAATTGCGACGTCCAGATTCGTTCCCCCTCCACCTCATCATCCTACCCAATCTCTTGCACGCGCGGAATGCACTTTTCGCTGTCCCCACTTCAATGTCCGGACACCCCAGGAAGGCGATCTCAGGCTGACCGTGTTTCGCATCGCACTCTTCCCCCACAAACTGCTCAAGCGTAAATGCAAATCACACCGCACCGCCCAACCCAACCTCCAAATTGCCCAGCAAGAAAATTTGCGTTGTCTCGATCACCGTTCTGCATCAGACTGTAGCGGTTATGGACGGTATTTGAACTATCGATAATTCATCAATGTAGTCTCCGTCAATAACTGCTGCATTCGACAGTTGCTTGCACCAATTCCTAGTTGCCTCGCTCATAGTGCGTGCGAAGTTGCCTCCTCTCTCCAACCTCCTTCCTCATGGTTGCCTCGTCTCTCACCTCAGTCAACCCAACCCAAACCACCCTAAACCATAGCAAACCTGTCGCGTCTATTTCAATCGTCCGTACTGCTGTAACAGCAGGCATTTGCCTTATCGCGGTCGCAGCACTTACATTCAGCGCATACGTTGCTTGCGCTTATTTACGGATAGGCAAAGGTTCAGCACGAGATATATAGGAAGGTCAAACTCCATGATTTATTCCATCTCTATACGTTCCCTTTCATCTCAACTTCCTCGCTAGAAACGCATATAAGCCTTATCCTAGCCTATGATAAGAAGCTACGCGAGTCACAATTGCACATAATGGCTGGCGCGAATTATCCTAGAATCGCGGGCTCGACCACCGTCCCTTACGGCGCGCTGCGCGCTCATGCTAGCACTACAACGTGCCTCCTTCTGCTGTTCCTCTACTGCTCACCGACAACGGCTCTCCGGCCCATATCGAGGCAGTTTATATCGAACCTTCATGATGCTCGCCGCGGGCGAGGAGTCTCCGCGCGGACAGTTCTGCCTCCCGCGGCACAGCGTTTTGCCGCACCGCGGGCGGAGGAAACATCCGCGGAGAAAAGATTACCCGCGGAAAGAGCATTTGCCGCGGAGCGCGCGGAAGGGGCGTCGGCGGGCGGCGGAACCAGCTCCACTCACGGCCTGTCCACGAGTTTAGCGTTACGCGTGTCCGCAGCCTCGCCGCAGGCGTCGGCGGCTAACACGGCGGCTCTTAAGGCGATTTTCACGGCAGCGCTGCTGCCCATCCCGGTGAACAAGGCGAACGCGTGCGCGTGGCCCGGCGTGACTTGCGCCGCGAACGGCGCTGTAGTAGCGCTAAACCTCACGAGCAGCGTCAGCCGTCTCTTGCTCCCACCCTCGCGTTACCTTTGCAACCGTACCGCGCGCGAACCCGGCGGAAAGTTCCCCGCGACCCTCTCCGAGTCTATCGGCCAGTTAACAGATCTCGTCGAGCTTCGCATGTATAACCTTTGGCTTGCTGGCTCAGTCCCTGCGTCGCTTTCCCGGCTTACGAAACTCGACACTGTTGATCTACAGGATAACTGCTTCGCTGGCCCTCTTCCCGTTGCGTTTTTTCGCCTGCCGAATCTTTACTCCCTGACCGCGTCGCGAAATTTCTTCTCCGGCGGGTTACCACAACGCCGTGCTGCATACGCTTCGATGGCGTCGCTAAGTACTTTGGATCTCGGAATCAATTGGCTATCCGGGCCGATTCCCGCTGCCCTTGCGACGCTGCCCATGCTTCGGGTGGTTCTTCTAAACACGAATGGGCTGACCGGAAATATTCCACCTGCCCTGCTGAAAATGGAGCTGTCGGCACTTATTTTAGATCGGAACCGGCTATCTGGCGACCTGAGCAGGCAGCAAATAAAAGCTACTCTCATTGGCCTAAGCCGGAACAGGCTGACCGGAAACTTCAACACGATCCGGTTCAGCGAATATCTGAGCTTCATTGATGTTTCAGATAACTTATTTTCGGGCTCATTCCCGCAGATTTTGTGCAGTTCGGGCAGCCTTGAAAGCGCTGATTTTTCGCGCAATCGCCTGACCGGAACCGTTCCAGCGAACTGTATCAAGACCGCAAATCCTATGCAGCTTGCCATCTTCTTGAGCCACAACAACTTCTCGGGCAGCTTGCAGGCCTTTGCGAACCTGCCCAAGAGCATTGCGGCTCTGGACCTGGGATTCAACAGATTTACAGGAGGAATTCCCCAAAGCCTCACCAATTTACCCCAGCTAAGCTACATAGACCTTGGGGCAAACGCACTGACAGGTAAGCTGAGCTGACTGTTTTTTCGCCCTTCGTGTTCACTCCTTTTGTACATTTCTGGTTTGCCTTCCCGATCCTTACTCGCTCCTACCTTCCCTCTCCCTTCCCTCATACTCCAACCCTCGTCAACCCAAAATCGTCTCTTCCCTCCCTGGTGATCCCCCCACCCCTCAGGCCCCATTCCCGCCTTCTGCCAGGCCAAGCAAGTCCTCACCTTCCTCAACCTCGCTCACAACGCCCTCTCCGGCCCGCCCACCCCACTCTCCTCCTCCTCCTGCTCCGCCTCCCTCTCCTTCCTCTACCTCTCCTCCAACCGCCTCTCCGGCCCCATCCCCGCTACAATCAGCTCCTTTACCCGCCTCAAGCGCCTTCTCCTCGACAAGAACACCCTTGCAGGATCAATCCCAGCTGGCGTGAGCAAACTGCAGCAATTACAGGGACTCGGGTTATCGTACAACACGCTATCGGGGACAATTCCCGCGGTTTGGCCAGCAGGCATACAGAACGTGCTGCTGGCAGGGAACCGGCTGTTAGGGGCTGTTCCGGTGGCTCTGAGCAAGCTGAAGAGAGGCTCGTTCAAACCAGGGAACCCCAACCTGTGTGGGAAACCACTGCCTGCTTGTGCTTAGATTAGAACCATCCCTGCTTGTGCAGGTATCACCCCATCTGAAACGGTTATTATAAATGTATATATTATTATTCTTCAGGAACCATTCAACTATGTCAGACTGGTCATGCGAAAAGCAAGCTGCAAAGGGGCTCCTTCAAACTAGGGAACCATCCAATTCTGGCAGTGGGAAGCGCAGGATTGCTTGAATCGACTCAAAAGCAGAACAAAGTTCCACGTCTTCCAGTCTGGTGTTTCATTGGTGGGAAGGAGCCTATAGTTCCATGTCTTCCAATTCTGGCAGTGGGAAGCGAAGAATTGCAGCGATCCCAGCAAGATTCACCAGCTCTGCTCAAAGCAAAAAGGAATACCACAAAGGCGACAGAAGAGAGAATGAGATGGAGACATAATGCATCTCGGCAGAAGCACATGTTAGCTTGTAACATGTGGTATGCGGGATGTTGCAGGCAACAACAAAACTTGTGGTGTGGAGTGGGATACATACGCTCGCCAGAGACGTGCAGGGAAGAGAAGACGTGCACTTGCCCACCATTCGCCCTCACTGATTCCACTAAGTCCACATAACGTCTTCTAGTCTTCACATCGGCGTTGCTGTGGAACAAGGGGTGTACGGGGGTTGGGAGAGGAGGCGAGACAGTGACGTGCAGGGAAGAGAAGACGTGCACTTGCCCGCCATTCGCCCTCACTGATTCCACTAAGTCCACGTAGCGTCTTCTAGTCTTCACATCGGCGTTGCTGTGAAAAATGGTGGGGGTGGTGATGGTGGTGGGGCGGGAGAGGGGGGAGCGCGTAAGCGAGGGAGGGAGCACGCGCAGGGAAGAGAAGACGTGCACTTGCCCGCCATTCGCCCTCACTGATTCCACCAGATCCACGTAGCGTCTTCTAGTCTTCACATCGGCATTGCTGTGGAACAAGGGGAGTGGGGGATGGTTACAGCAAGTGCACAGGAAATCGGACACGTGAGCACCCCAAAAACAGGCACCCTTAAATTACGGTGCTGATCTGGAAAAAGCAAGCAAACAAACAAACAACAGGGAGGGAAGAGATCAGCAAGCAAACAAACAAACAACAACAGATCAGCAAACAAACAAACAAACAACAGGGAGGTTGAGGAAGGTGAGGGCTTGCTCCCTGTTGTTTGTTTGGTTGTTTGCTGATCTGGAAAATCCAAGCAAACAAGCAAACAACCAAGTTTGAGATTTTGAATCGAGAGGAAACCAACAAGTTAGCTGGCAATCAGTAGGTCCTCACCGGAACAAGTCATCAGAAATGAGAAGCGTGTGAATGGCAAGGCGCTCATTTGCTGCCTTGTGACACAAATGAGCCATTTTGAGAATCAGCCAGCAAGGAATGAAAAGATGCCCACTGGAACAAGTCATCAGAAATGAGGAGCGTGTGAATGGCAAGGCGCTCATTTGCTGCCTTGTGACACAAATGAGCCATTTTGAGAATCAGCCAGCAAGGAATGAAAAGATGCCCACCGGAACAAGTCATCAGAAATGAGGAGCGTGTGAATGGCAAGGCGCTCATTTGCTGCCTTGTGACACAAATGAGCCATTTTGAGAATCAGCCAGCAAGGAATGAAAAGATGCCCACCGGAACAAGTCATCAGAAATGAGGAGCGTGTGAATGGCAAGGCGCTCATTTGCTGCCTTGTGACACAAATGAGCCATTTTGAGAATCAGCCAGCAAGGAATGAAAAGATGCCCACCGGAACAAGTCATCAGAAATGAGGAGCGTGTGAATGGCAAGGCGCTCATTTGCTGCCTTGTGACACAAATGAGCCATTTTGAGAATCAGCCAGCAAGGAATGAAAAGATGCCCACCGGAACAAGTCATCAGAAATGAGGAGCGTGTGAATGGCAAGGCGCTCATTTGCTGCCTTGTGACACAAATGAGCCATTTTGAGAATCAGCCAGCAAGGAATGAAAAGATGCCCACCGGAACAAGTCATCAGAAATGAGGAGCGTGTGAATGGCAAGGCGCTCATTTGCTGCCTTGTGACACAAATGAGCCATTTTGAGAATCAGCCAGCAAGGAATGAAAAGATGCCCACCGGAACAAGTCGTCAGAAATGAGGAGCGTGTGAATGGCAAGGCGCTCATTTGCTGCCTTGTGACACAAATGAGCCATTTTGAGAATCAGCCAGCAAGGAATGGAAAGATGCCCACCGGAACAAGTCGTCAGAAATGAGGAGCGTGTGAATGGCAAGGCGCTCATTTGCTGCCTTGTGACACAAATGAGCCATTTTGAGAATCAGCCAGCAAGGAATGAAAAGATGCCCACCGGAACAAGTCATCAGAAATGAGGAGCGTGTGAATGGCAAGGCGCTCATTTGCTGCCTTGTGACACAAATGAGCCATTTTGAGAATCAGCCAGCAAGGAATGAAAAGATGCCCACCGGAACAAGTCATCAGAAATGAGGAGCGTGTGAATGGCAAGGCGCTCATTTGCTGCCTTGTGACACAAATGAGCCATTTTGAGAATCAGCCAGCAAGGAATGAAAAGATGCCCACCGGAACAAGTCATCAGAAATGAGGAGCGTGTGAATGGCAAGGCGCTCATTTGCTGCCTTGTGACACAAATGAGCCATTTTGAGAATCAGCCAGCAAGGAATGAAAAGATGCCCACCGGAACAAGTCGTCAGAAATGAGGAGCGTGTGAATGGCAAGGCGCTCATTTGCTGCCTTGTGACACAAATGAGCCATTTTGAGAATCAGCCAGCAAGGAATGAAAAGATGCCCACCGGAACAAGTCATCAGAAATGAGGAGCGTGTGAATGGCAAGGCGCTCATTTGCTGCCTTGTGACACAAATGAGCCATTTTGAGAATCAGCCAGCAAGGAATGAAAAGATGCCCACCGGAACAAGTCATCAGAAATGAGGAGCGTGTGAATGGCAAGGCGCTCATTTGCTGCCTTGTGACACAGATGAGCCATTTTGAGAATCAGCCAGCAAGGAATGAAAAGATGCCCACCGGAACAAGTCATCAGAAATGAGGAGCGTGTGAATGGCAAGGCGCTCATTTGCTGCCTTGTGACACAAATGAGCCATTTTGAGAATCAGCCAGCAAGGAATGAAAAGATGCCCACCGGAACAAGTCATCAGAAATGAGGAGCGTGTGAATGGCAAGGCGCTCATTTGCTGCCTTGTGACACAAATGAGCCATTTTGAGAATCAGCCAGCAAGGAATGAAAAGATGCCCACCGGAACAAGTCATCAGAAATGAGGAGCGTGTGAATGGCAAGGCGCTCATTTGCTGCCTTGTGACACAAATGAGCCATTTTGAGAATCAGCCAGCAAGGAATGAAAAGATGCCCACCGGAACAAGTCATCAGAAATGAGGAGCGTGTGAATGGCAAGGCGCTCATTTGCTGCCTTGTGACACAAATGAGCCATTTTGAGAATCAGCCAGCAAGGAATGAAAAGATGCCCACCGGAACAAGTCGTCAGAAATGAGGAGCGTGTGAATGGCAAGGCGCTCATTTGCTGCCTTGTGACACAAATGAGCCATTTTGAGAATCAGCCAGCAAGGAATGAAAAGATGCCCACCGGAACAAGTCATCAGAAATGAGGAGCGTGTGAATGGCAAGGCGCTCATTTGCTGCCTTGTGACACAAATGAGCCATTTTGAGAATCAGCCAGCAAGGAATGAAAAGATGCCCACCGGAACAAGTCATCAGAAATGAGGAGCGTGTGAATGGCAAGGCGCTCATTTGCTGCCTTGTGACACAAATGAGCCACTTTGAGAATCAGCCAGCAAGGAATGAAAAGATGCCCACCGGAACAAGTCGTCAGAAATGAGGAGCGTGTGAATGGCAAGGCGCTCATTTGCTGCCTTGTGACACAAATGAGCCATTTTGAGAATCAGCCAGCAAGGAATGAAAAGATGCCCACCGGAACAAGTCATCAGAAATGAGGAGCGTGTGAATGGCAAGGCGCTCATTTGCTGCCTTGTGACACAAATGAGCCATTTTGAGAATCAGCCAGCAAGGAATGAAAAGATGCCCACCGGAACAAGTCATCAGAAATGAGGAGCGTGTGAATGGCAAGGCGCTCATTTGCTGCCTTGTGACACAAATGAGCCATTTTGAGAATCAGCCAGCAAGGAATGAAAAGATGCCCACCGGAACAAGTCATCAGAAATGAGGAGCGTGTGAATGGCAAGGCGCTCATTTGCTGCTTCCACGTGCCCGGGACCGTAGAAGGCCCGTGCTGAGTCCTGTGGAAGTGTGGAGAGAGAAGGGTTAGAGGAGGGACCGAGCATACCAAAAAAGGTAATATGAGATAGGAGTGTGTGAATGGCAAGGCGCTCGTTTGCTGCTTCCACGTGCCCGGGACCGTAGAAGGCCCGTGCTGAGTCCTGTGGAAGTGTGGAGAGAGAAGGGTTAGAGGAGGGACCGAGCATACCAAAAAAGGTAATATGAGATAGGAGTGTGTGAATGGCAAGGCGCTCGTTTGCTGCTTCCACGTGCCCGGGACCGTAGAAGGCCCGTGCTGAGTCCTGTGGAAGTGTGGAGAGAGAAGGGTTAGAGGAGGGACCGAGCATACCAAAAAAGGTATGAGATAGGAGTGTGTGAATGGCAAGGCGCTCGTTTGCTGCTTCCACGTGCCCGGGACCATAGAAGGCCCGTGCTGAGTCCTGTGGAAGTGTGGAGAGAGAAGGGTTAGAGGAGGGACCGAGCATACCAAAAAAGGTAATATGAGATAGGAGTGTGTGAATGGCAAGGCGCTCGTTTGCTGCTTCCACGTGCCCGGGACCGTAAAAGGCCCGTGCTGAGTCCTGCAGCATTGAAGGCGGCATGGCGGCATGAGGAGAGAGGGGTCGTAGACAATTTCTGAGCCGACTCTAGAAACACACGAGCTGTGCAGCACATGCCTCCAACTGAGATTGCAAGTAAAACATCTCATTGACAGCTTGAATCTTGCGTTAAAGGCTGTGCAGAGTCGTGGGGAATGAGAACAGAAGGCAGTCGCACCTACGGCCGTCGTTTAAATCTCTCATAAGTGACTATAACGCAGGTGCACTTACGTTTGAGAGCATGGCATAGAAGTCCTCAAGTGCCTTGACCTGGCCACAAGACATCGCAGGCAGGGAGAAAAGGTGGAGAAGGGAAGCGAAGGGACGGTTTGGAAATCAGCTAAAATCGCATCAGAGAGCATAGCGTACAGCTCCCTTCGACCTTCAAACCTGGTCAAAAGGTATGGGAGGAAAAAAAAGGGGGGGTGTGTTTTGAGTTGACTCAAAGCATGACGTAAAGTTCCTTTAGGCCTTTAGCTTGGCCAAGAAATGTGGGCGGAAAACAAAGGGGTTGGCAGGGAGGGGGGAGGATACGATGTTTGAGAAGTGATGAGAAGCACAAAAAGGATCTTGAGATGTCTCAGGATGGGTCATGGGTCATGGGTCATAATGGGTCATGGATCATAATGGGTCATGGGTCATGATGGCTCATGGGTCATGGGTCGGAACACAACCCACATGTAACCAGACCACACCATATTTAGCTTCTCCTCCTCCATCACTGTCTCACCCACCCACTCAATCATGCTCTCACTCACTCCTCACTCACTCACTCTCACTCATTCACTCCCACGATCACTCACTCACACCCTCACTCGCGCACCCACTCACCTCCTTGGCTGCCTCGGTGTCTTTGATTCAAGTCATGATAGCCCACACCTCTTTCACTTGAGGCGCATCAAAGATAAGCCCACTCAAAGCAAACCAACTACACTCACTCGCTCATTCACTCACTAACTACCTTCCTCACAGAATCACTCACCTCCTTGGCTGCCTTGGTGTCTTTGATTTGAGTCATGATAGCAGGCAGTGCCAGCACCTCTTTCACTGCATGCCTGCATGGGACACAGTCACGTCAACAACAGCAAGAAAGGGTGGATGCAACCATACATTCTTGGATCCAAAGCGCCTTCTTTTGAGAATTCTTCAGAACCAACAGCTTGTGACACAGTAATTAGGCATCCAACGCACCTGTATCCCGACGTTGAATGTGCGAGCGAGCACGATCTTGGCCTTGTTCTCAATTATGGCTGCTTGCCCACTCTACGCACATCAACAACCCACTCGCTTGCATCGCATGCCTGAACTGAACACACACACCATACCAGTCAGCATGGAACATCATCCATCCCCCACCACTCACTTATATCCTGATGTAGAATGTGCGAGCACGATCTCGGCCTTGTTCTCTATGATGGCTCGGATCGGATGTTCTGCCGCGTTGCTTCCGAGACGTCTCAACACCACTCATCCCACCTCACACACTCACTTGTATCCCGATGTTGAGTGTGCCAGCTCGATCTTGGCCTTGTTCTCTATGATGGCTCGGATGTTCTGCCGCTCAAGAGATGCTACATCATCATTCCCCCCTTCCCCCTCCACCCAACCCCCCCAACATACTCACTTGTATCCCGACGTGGAATGCGCGAGCACGATCTTAGCCTTGTTCTCTATGATGGCTCGGATGTTCTGCCGCGTCGCTTCCAGCATCATGTACTCAAAGAACTGGTCCTGTGCTGTGTGGGAGTGATGGGAGGAACGGAAGATAACATGTATGGTATTGTTAAGGCATCTGACTGACACCTGACTGACATAGACATGCTTCCAGCATCATGTACTCAAAGAACTGGTCCTGTTCTGTGTGGGAGTGACGGAGGGAGGAGTGAGAATGCAGAGCATGTATGTATAGTTAAGGCATCTGACTGACACGGACCAAGCTTCCTTCCAGCATCATGTACTCAAAGAACTGGTCCTGTGCTGTGCGGGAGTGATTGGTAAACAGAAGGATAGCATGCGTGGTAACAGAGTATGTAGGGTCAACGACGTATTGGTAGCTAGCAAGGCATCTGACATAGATCGGATAGGAAGAGGGGGACAACATAGTTACATAGCACATATGGGATCAGTACAGACATGGTCCTGTGCCATGTTCTTTTGAGGCGCCTCAAAGGCCCTGCCAGTACAAACATGGTCCTGTGCCATGTGACAGTGATAGGATCGGAGGAGAGCAGGGTAAAATGAAGGCAGGGCACTTTTTAGTATCAAAGAGCGCTGGTTATGTACACGGCGAAGCTGCTAATAGAGGAGCACGTTATAACGAGGATGTGATGAATGAACAGCAGTAGAAGGACAGTACCTTGGTGAATCCAGGACTCGCTATAAGCAGGCAGCGGATAACGTTGAAGTCAATGTGCCGTTGCACACCCTGTGAGTGAGACGAGCAGAGAGAAGGGAAGGAGCGTAAGGGAGGGGGGGAAAAGGACGAGATGGGAGAGGGAGAGGAGAGGAAAGACGGAGATGAAAGGGGAGAAGGAAAGAGGTTGAGAGCAAATTAAGAAGATGCAATTCGAAAGCTCTCAGAACATAGTACGCAGAACCTCACAGGGAAAGGAGGGAGCTACTCCGGGGAAGATCAGATCAGCTCAAAGGCATGCTCACCTGAAATACATTCTCGAAGAACTTACTGATTGCCTGCACGTGAGATGGTGGGATGGGGGGAACAAAGAGAGGCATGAATCAAAAGAGTGCATTCTTTACTCTGACTAGCAAGCAACTCACATATCCCTCACGCACGCATCACACGCATCACACGCATCACACGCATCACGCATATGCCCATTTGCTTGCTCTCACCCACCACGTCAACAGGCCACCCAGAGGGCATCACACACACCTGATAATATCCCGCAAGGGCAATGCTTCGGCCCTCGTTCTTACTTTTGAATCATTTAAAAAAGTCACCTCAGAAGTCACCCCACCCCGTCCAACTACCACCTTATCAAATCCCGCAATGGCCAGAACTCGTTCTGAATCTCAAGCCAGCTAAAAAGTCACCTCAAAAGAGAATTCTCAAAAAACACCCCACCATCTCCACCACCAACCAACCATGCAATAGGGCTCGATGCTCACACACACCTTATCATATCCTGCAATTGCCGGCCCTCGTTTTCTTGGGATTGGCGTCTCTATGCGCGCTTTTACTGTAGTCACGCTGTTTACAGGGGAAAAGAAGGTACAAATGGGGATTTGATAGGTCGCCAAAACTCTTCAGAGCAGCTTAACTCTGCACAGAGAAAGAATAGCACAGGTAAAAAATACCACAGTATCCATTGAACTCACTTTCCCCTAATGTCGCCTCTTCAAAATGGGTCAAACTCAATCCAGACGCTCAGATTCCATAATTTATTTGGGCACGAACAGAGATACACGGCCAAGGCAGTTCTTTGGGTGCCTCAGCAGCACCTGAATCTCACCTCCCACGATCTCCCCTCCCCCAGATCTCACCTCCCCCCAATAAGACAAACGTTAGCCAGCCCCTCCTGCATCACCACCACTGCTAAGTCCGCATTGGCTGAAGGGTCTGCGGGACAGAAGGGAAAGGGCGGGGAAGGGGGGAGGGGGGAGTGGGATGGGTGGGTTGGGGTGGGGGGGAAGGAAGAGGTGGGGGAATTGGAGAGGTGGGAGAGAGGAAAGGGCATTGGGTTTGTGGGTCACACGCTAGCCACCCCCTCCTGTATTACCACCACTGCTAGGTCCGCATTGGCTGAGGGGTCTGGAGGACAGAGGGGGGAGGGCGGGGGGGGGGGAAGTGGGAGTGGTGGGTTGGGGTGGGGTAGAGGGAAGAGGTGGGGGAATGGGAGAGGTGGGAGAGAGGAGGGGACACTGGGTTTGTAGGACAAACGTTAGCCAGCCCCTCCTGTATCACCACCACTGCTAAGTCCGCATTGGCTGAAGGGTCTGCGGGACAGAAGGGAAAGGGCGGGGAAGAGGGGGGGGGGGGGGGGAGGGGGGAGTGGGATGGGTGGGTTGGGGTGGGGGGGAAGGAAGAGGTGGGGGAATTGGAGAGGTGGGAGAGAGGAAAGGGCATTGGGTTTGTGGGTCACACGCTAGCCACCCCCTCCTGTATCACCACCACTGCTAGGTCCGCATTGGCTGAGGGGTCTGGAAGACAGAGGGGGAAGGGCGGGGGGGGGGGAAGTGGGAGTGGTGGGTTGGGGTGGGGTAGAGGGAAAGAGGTGGAGGAATGGGAGAGGTGGGAGAGAGGAGGGGACACTGGGTTTGTAGGACAAACGTTAGCCAGCCCCTCCTGTATCACCACCACTAGTAGGTCCGCATTGGCTGATGGGTCTGGAGGAAGAAGAGGGGGGAAGGGAGGGGTTTGTGTGGGTTTGGGAAGGGGGGAAGGGAGAGGTACGGGAATGGAAAGGAAAAGGCACGGGGGGACGGGGAAAGAAGGAAAAGGGAACGGCAAAGGGGGGAAAAAACACGTTCCCTGAACTGAAGGGTCTGCGAAAGGAGAGAGCGAAAGCAGACGACCATTCAGCACGATTGGGTCCTCTGAAATGATTGGAGGACGTGGAAAGGAGAAGGCCCGTGATAAAAGTCGAGTTTTTTGAGACGTCTCAAAGCAGATGACAAGTTTGCATGATTGGGTCCGATGAAATGACTGAAGGACGTGGAGAGGAAAAGCAGTTGTGAGGGAAAAAAAATGCACGTTCTCTTTCCCCTCAAAGTGTCTCTAACCTAATTAAACCCTTTCAGCACAAACACCACCACCACCACTGCCTCCCACGTTATCTTTTAATGCCCTACAAAATCACACTAAATCCCCCCATATCCATAATCTCTTTAAAGTTTAAACACACTCACCGCATGCCTCCTTGAGCCGGTCTATCGCCAATGAGTCCCACACGCCGTACCACTCACTGCAAACCCCCACTCGTCCCGTGTCAGCCCATCCTTACAGCCCACCAAATCCTCCCTCCCATCCCATACCCATGTTCCCCTCCACCCACTCACCACATGCCTCCTTGAGCCGGTCTATAGCCACTGAGTCCCACACGTCCTGAGGAAGCAAGACATCAAGGGCATGGCAAAAGAGGTGTGGTGGGGTGGGGGGGGGGGAAGGGGGGTGAGAATCATGGAAGGAGGGTCGTGAAGGCCCAGATCCGCCAGGCATGCCGTGGACACCCCGAGTTGTTTTGAGACGTCTCAAAACAACACTTTTATCAGGGGGGTTGTGAAGGCCCAGATCCGCCAGGCATGCCGTGGACACTCCGAGTTTGGCAGCAATGGAAAAAATGCCAATCTACGACGGAACAACAACGGAGGAAGATGGTACTTGGAAATAGTACCTTGGTGAGTGTGAAGGCCCGCTGCAGATCCAGCTCCAGTGTGTGGTATGACCCTAGCTGCGATGACGGGAGCAGATGAGATGAGAGCAGCGTGAGAGAGGCATAGCTGATTACAAACGACCACGTTGCAGATCCAGCTCCAGTGTGTGTGTGATATGACCCCAGCTGCCGTGTAGGGGTTTAGCCAACCACACGAGAGAGCGGCATGAGAACACTTTTGAGGCGCCTCAAAAGTCCCCAGCTGCCGTGTAGGGGTTTAGCAACCACACAAGAGAGCGGCATGAGAACAGCGTATGGGCAGATGTGGGTGGAAACGGAAGGAGAAAGGACAGCTGGATAAGAAAGGTGTAGATCCAGCTCCAATGTGTGTGTGGTGTGTCCCCCCCAGGTGTTGTGCAGGGAGCAGATGAGAGCAGAACAGCGTAAGGGCAGATATGGGCAAGAGAGGACAGTTATGTGTGTGACACGACACTCACACACTCGTTTCACACCCGTTTACTCTTCACTCGTTTTCAGCAAGACTCCCCTCACCTTCACATGCTCATTCTCAGTAATGTTTTTGCCGCGAACTCGAATGACGTGTGCCGATGCGTCGAAATCGACTTCCTGTTAAATAACAGTTGGAAGGGGCGGATCAATCATGAAAAGCAGGTAGAAACAAAATTGAATGACACGCACTTTAGAAACACAAGAAAAATCGATACGTAAAAGCCATTACCACCCTGCTACAATACAATGTATGCCCCCAGGTTACTTTCTAACCCCACAACCGCCCTCCCCTCTCACCTCACCTCCACTTCCACTTCCAGCCTCAGTTTGATCCGCTCAGACTCACTGCTGCCTCTCAACCCCACCCCCACAGCTCCTCTCATCTCCCTCCCTGACCTTATCCCAAAACCTGCTATCCTCACTCTATGGTCACTCTCACCCACCACCCTCCTCTCTCTCACCTCCACTGCCACTTCCAGCCTCAATTTGATCCGCTCCGACTCACTGCTGTCTCTCAACACCCCAAAGCCTTGCCTTCTCCCTCTCCGTCCTGACCTTAATCCAACACCTGTTATCCTCGCTCTAGTGTCTCTCTCACCCACCGCCCTCCCCACTCACCTCCACTGTCACTTCCAGCCTCAGCTTGATCCTCTCCGACTCACTGCCGCCCCCTCCCGTCTCCTTCTGCACCTTCCTGGAACCATCCAGCAGGAAGAGGGAGGTAGATTTGTAGGAGGGAGGTAGATTTGTAGGACGGAGGAGCGAGTGTTGGTTTGGGGAATTTGAGACAGCACATGAGAAGATTACTGAGTTGAGCCACGAGGATTTCTTTCTGCGTTACTTCAGTTCAGGAACTGTACAAAGAACCACCCGACCGAATTTCGAGTCGACTCAAAATGTGAGTCAGTCAGTCAGCGCATGAGAAGATAATTGAAAAGACCCACAAACATTGCCTGCTGCGTTAGTTCAGGTACTGTAAAAGACCACCCGAGCGTTCAGGTATGAGGGTCCATTCAGGTACCTGAGCATCCACCTGAGCACGAACCTGAACGTGGTGCTCTGCACATGGTCATGCGGAGCAATGAGGTTGTACGCATGCCATAGGTCCTCCTCCACTTCAGGTACGATCTGGATTGAGGGAGGGGTTGGGGGGGGAGGGAGGGGGGAAAGGGGGAGGGGAGGACAGAAAGGGGGTTAAGGATAGAAGGACGAGGAATGAGGTTGTACGCATGCCATAGGTCCTCCTCCACCCTCGGGTACGATCTAGGGGGGAGAAGATCGAGGAGGGAAAGGGGAGAGGTGGCAGAGGTTTGCGGGGCGTTTATGAAAGCAGGGAGATAGTAGGAGGAACGTCGGAGGGATCACGACTGTGTGTACGATAACACACCCAATAACATTTCCGAGGAGTCTCTAACACGTGACCATAAGTATCGCATTGCATCCTTAACCATACAACATAATCCTCTTCTCCTTTATATGTGACATGCGAGTACTTAAAAGGGAATCGTCCCATTCTTCCATCACACCTTGGCCACCCCTGGGCCGTCTTTCTCGAAGCTCCTCTTCAGAAGCTTCATCGCGGATTCCAACGGTAAGAAGAGAGTATTCACAGAAGGAAAGAACCCCATACTCCACCCAGCACACCTTGGCCACCCCTGGGCCGTCTTTCTCGAAGCTTCTCTTCAGAAGCTTCATCGCGGATTCCGTGTGATTCGCTAAACTTCGTTCAAATCGAAGAGATGACTTGAGTCCAGTCGAAAGCCAGTTGCGGTAAGCTAGTCTAATCTGCTACAAGCTAGTTCCGGTCTGTGCAAGTGAAATTAGCGGGTAACCGACTGACTACTTTTCACTCGCCGGTAAAATTTGCTACCTAAATGCAGAAATAACACCTCGGTTCTCGTCCTCGTATTCAGATTCTGAAGCTATTGCTCCTCGCCCACTATCCGTACCGCAGATTCTGAAAGCATCCAGCCTACACTTCAGTACAGAGCCCAGAGACTGACCAGCCCACCTAGGAGAACCAGGATTGTTGGGACATATTGTGAGCAGGCAATCTGAAGAATCGAGGGCTGGAGTTAACGACTCGCAAAACCGCACCTAATCCCTCCTGAATGTTCTACAACCTACGAGAACGCGTCCAACCTGATCCTCGTCATTTGTTGCTCACGTCAGTGGATAAACTTGACCATTTCTTCTTCGCTCGCTGTTACAAGTTTGCTAAGTACCATCAAAGTCTACACCTCCATTTGCAGCTCGTCACTGCATATGCGTGTGCTGTTCCCTATTTAGCTATGGAGATGTGCAGCAGAACTAGCTTAGCTTAAATGAAGACATCTGTGAGACATTATTGTGAAAGATATTCTCCCAAAGAACAATACTTTCCACTAGATAGATAGACAATCACAAATGGGTAATCTTCTTCAGAATAACCCAACAAACCATACCAATCACGTGTAATAAAGCAGAACAAAAGCGAAATGCAACCCACACAGCACAAAGAGCAGCTCCCAGCCCACCATTCCTAATCAGACTGTCATCTCTAGCTCTAAATGCATCCCATAGTCACCACCTTTCTTCACCCATCCTTCAACTGTCTCTTCCCCATGTTTCCCCCCCTCCACCACACGGCCATTCCAGCAAAAAAAAGCTGGACTGATAATCCCCACCTCAATCTAGTCATCACCATCATTATCATCATTGTCCCCGCGTCCTCCCCTCCTCCCTCCCTGCCTGCCCGCACCGCTCCCATTGCAGTTTCCAGAACCAGACCCACTTCCGTTGCAGTTCCCACCTCCCCCACCGCTCCCCCTCATCCCCGCGCCAGCCCCCTTCCCTGCACCTGCGCCAGTGCGTCCAGCCGCTCCCTGCCGCCCCGCCCCTCCGCTCATGCCGCCCGCTCCGCCTGCACGTCCACCACCACCACCACCACCACCACCACCACCCACGCCTGCACCTGCGCCTGCGCCACGACCGCGGCCCTGCTGCTGCCCCGACCCCTGCCGACCAGCACCGCTGCCGCTGCCATTGCCAGTGCAGCCGCCAGATCGGGAGCACTGGGAGGAACCAGAGCTGGAGCCGGAGCCGTCGCGCTTGCGGTCGCGGTCGCGGTCCTGGTCGCCAGACCCGTCCCTCTTGCGATCCCTCTCCCGGTTATCCGCCACCACGTACCCCGCGCTCCGAATGCTCGCTGCCGCCGCGTTTCTCCCCGACCCTCCGCCTCCGCCTCCGCCGTTGCACGAGCCAGACCCGCCGCTGCAGTTTCCGCCGCCCTTCTTGCCCTGCCGCACCTTCCCCGCGCTGTTGCTGCCGCCCAGCCGCCCGCTACGACCCGCACCCGCACCAGCGCCAGCGCCGCTCCCCGTTCTTCCCGCTCCGCCTCCGCGCCCGCCCGCGCCGCCGCCGCCCTGCCGGCCGGCGCCAGTATTCTGTCTTCCGCCGGAGCCGCTGCCGGCGCAGCCGCCGGACTTGCTGCAGGAGCCGTCGCGATCGCGGTCCCTGTCGCGATCCTGGTCGCGGTTGCCGGAGCCGTCCCGCTTGCGATCGCGCTTCGGACGGTCGTCGTCGTCGTCGTCGTCGGCGACGGCGAAAGTCGCGAGGTTGACGACGACGAGCAGGAGGATCCCGAGGGCGAGAAGCTTCGACGAAGCCATCGGTATTCTCAGATGTCCACGGAGGGTAGTGGTATTCTCAGTATATGTAGTAGTGGACACGACAGGCCTACGATAGACGCTGAAAAAGAGTTAACCTACTATTGAGAGTGAGTAGAACGGGTGGATCTGGTCTAAACGATGCTGAGAAACCCGAGAATGGACTCGGGATTTATAGTAGTAGCATTTGGGTGGGAATGGTTTCGGGACTTTGCCGCGGCGGTCATTACCGGGCTGGGCCGCGGTGGTTTCGCCGGGGCTGTCATGTGGTTGTTTCGCCGCGCCCTGGTTTCCGCCGAGTGCGCATCGTACTGGACAGGCGGGCGACACTGGGCCGATGGAGGCGCGAACCTTATCCGCTCGAGTTGAAACAACGCGCGCCGCCGCTGGAAAGCACACGCGACGGGGCGCAGCGCAACACATGACACAGAACGCGCAACACACTTGCCGCGGCGGAACGTGACGTGGCGAGGCGAGGCGACGTCCAGACTTGCACGCGCAGCCGAGGCGGAACTCGAGCGAGCCCCCCTCCATCCGCACCGCACCCGGCCCCTCGGCGGAGGCGGCTGTGGGCTAAGCGCTCCGCGAGAGAGAGACTGAGGGCTTGCGCGAGTATGCGCGGTGGGGGGGAAGGGAAAAGAGAGTCTTCCGGCGCTCGGAATTTTCGTCGGAAGCGACGGGTGGAATGGCCCGTCCCCCGACGAGCCGCACACGCATGTTGAGTTCCACCCAGGCTGGCTGGCCGCTACTGTACTACTACAGTACTGTCCTACCAAACAAACCCAGACGAACTCACTCACCGCCTCTCTCCTTCCCAATCCGCGCTGGATACAACTGCCAATGGCAGGTCGGTCCGTCGCGCAACGAAAGCTGTCGGAGGAGTGAGCTGTCAGCTGCCTTGCCCGGCGGTTATCCCCTTGGCAGTGGCTGGTAACCAAACAGCATCTGGTGCTATCATAACAGAGGCTTGCTGGCGCACCATGATAGAATCTTTGTACGACACCACACGCTCTAAGTGCGCGCTGAGCTGGCGCGCAAGATCCCGGCTAGCAGTGCTGCTTGACTGCGACGCGACGCTACTGAGGCTGCACGGTCGTACTAGCTACGATCGTTTCTGGCGAAGGCTCGCACTCTCAAGGTCTACTCGACTCCCGTTTTCCCTCGAAGCAGCAGGAGGTGTGTGTGACAATGACAAGGCCGCCATGGCTGCCTGACACTTGCCTGACAAGCACATTACGCGAAGCCTGGCCACCAGATGGCTTTAATTTCACCAGTACTGCAACCGTTACATCCTTACGAAGCAGCCTATATATTTTTTATGTTCATCAGGCCAACATTATATCGACTGCTCTAGGGAGTATCTCGCTGGTGCAAGCGACAAAGTCCAACGTCCGCGCGGGCTTCTCAAGGTGCTCTGCTGGCACACAGGAACAACAATCAAGGACTAACGTCACTGGATGCTTGGATTACGTCCAAGGACGCGATCCTGAAGTCCTATCCTCGGTTTCTCAACACCTGAGTTATGAGCACTGGTCAGCTGTCTACGCTAACAATGACAATGGCAGGCTATTTATCAGTACTGTGCTCAGACCATCGGCATATGTTCTTCATCAGCTTGTTAACTCAGAGCTTCTGCCGTTTTTGGTTCATCATTGCACGATGCCGCCGAAAGGGTCGCGTGTTAAGCCCATTGTTGATGCGCCGCCGCCTGAAACCACAACGGGTGGTCCTGATGCTGCATCCAAGCAAACGGCAACCAGCAAGTCAGACATTGTGAAGGATCTGCCATCTGAGGCTGAAGTCCCTGCGGGAAGCTCGGGATTATCCATTGAGGATAAGCTGAAGGCGCTGGCTACGGTCGCACCTGATGACACCTTTATTGAAGACGACTCTGACGAGGAGCTGGAAATTGACAATGAAAAAGGGACGGCGTCGCATCTTCGGTTCACGGCGATACTACTCTTCCCGGTCATTCCGTCTCATGAGATCGCCTCTGTCATTATTACCGTCAGGATGCTGATGAAGCGCGTTTGGTCGCATATCTTTACTGACGGTGTTCTTACCACAGTGAAGTTTCAGGAGCTGCCACCCGCGTATGTCGCGAAGTCACGTTACAGCAGACTCCAGGTCTCCTTCCTGCAAGAAGCAGACGCGACTAATGTCAAACAAATGATTGTGGACCATAAGCGACCGAATGGCTTGACTATTCACTGCTTCTGGCTTCACTTGGAAGATCCGGCTTTCATCCGAACAAAGGCGGCTAACCCGCAGATGCTGGAAGTCTACTTTAAGGGTGTACCTGCTGACATTCCGCCGGAACTGGTCAAGGATGTGATGGTTGTCCATCAGTTGAAAGTACGCAAACGGTCCGCGTTCAGCGAGGGTCATTGCTTCCACCGCGTGCTACATCCGGTCACTGGTGCAGACACTGATAAGATCAAGGGTCTGGTGGTCCCGCACGCGGGGGACAAACATCGCTGGCGACACGAGTTTCGCCACCAGCTGCTTGGTGGAACGTCGCTGCTGGCCCACTACCCCTTGCTATCCTGCACGCTCTGTGGTGGACATCACTATGACAAGTTTCATGATGTCTATGTCACGGAGCGTCAGAATAACATAGGGAAGTGGAGTCTCACAGTGGGTCGGGTACACAGGATTAACGGTAACAGCCTCTTACAGTTTTGTTGTCGGGGTTATTCTTGCTGTCTCTTACCTTCCTCGGCTTCTGACCTCTTGCTTGCCTCTCGCAGCTGCTTCTCTCCGCACTTCTCCGCTTGTCACCCCTCTCCTCATGGATGCGGCCTTTGTTCTGATCTCGACGGGGAGCAACAGGGAGGAGTGGCTGTGCACCCAAGCCAGCTGCGGGAAAGCACACGGCAAATCCTTCATGACTGCTGCAGACCATGTCACCTCTGCAAGCCACCTGCTGGGGTTAGAGAAGCTGGGTGTTGCCACTCGTCTCTCCCTCGAGAAGCTGAATCTGAACACCATCCGCAAGGAGTACGGGATCTAAGTGATGATCTGGATCGACTTACCAGTGTCTCTTCGACTGTAGCCGTTGTTTGTTCTGTCATAGCCGTTGCATGTTTCACCAGCCTGTGGATGAGGGGAGGCTGCCAAGCAGTGATCAAATGAGTACAAAAAATCTTCTCACAGTAGCAGGCCTGAATGTGAACGGCCTGGGAGACGGGAACAAGCAACAGCGTACGAAGAACTGGATCAGACAAGCAGCTGACATCACTATACTATCAGACTCTAGACTAGCAGATGACCACCCATACTGGAACTCTCTCAAACAGCCTAGGACCTTAGTTGCTTCACCAACTGCCAAGGCCGGGGGTGTAGCGCTGATCTGTCGCAGACAAGGCTTATCACTTCATAACATTCTGATTCACTCGTCAGGCCGACTGATCAAAGCTGATGTGCAACTTGACGCCTTCCACATCACCTTAGTAGCGGCGTACTTTCCGGCGGACGCGTCGGAGCGAAAAGCCTTCATCCGTCGGGTCCTGGGCCCAGTGGTTGACGGCGTACCACCTGGCGCTCACCTGCTTGTCCTCGGAGATCTAAATCTGGTGGAGGATCCGCTGCTGGACAGGACCTCCAGGAAAGGGACGACCAAAGAGAACGACGAGTTGTACCAGCGCTGCAGTGCTTTTCGTTTATCGGATGCCTTTCGTGTTCTGCATCCCTTCAAACGGGAGTTCACTTTCTACTCACATGCCTGTCAGACCAGCTCGCGCATTGATCGTGCTCTCATCTCGCAGTCTCTGCTATCGCATGTTGAGCTCGCCTCCCACATCATGCCTGCTGACCCAATCTCGGACCACAGCTTCGCGATTAAGGTGGCCTTCAGGATGAGCACGCAAGTGCAGACGGGACCGGGCCTTTGGAGACTACCTGCATACATGGTGGGGAGACCGGGTGTCAGAAAGGTGATCGAAAGAGTGTCGAGTCAGATGGAGAAATCGGGCGACAATTACGAGCTGCTAATCGCGAGACTGAACGCGGGGCTCAAGGCTTACGCCGGGGAGGAGAGAAAGAGAGTTCGTGCCACGATGACCTTCCTTCAACAGGCAGTTGCTGATCTGAAACAGGCGTGGCTGGGGGACCCGAGCTGTGTCCGGCTGAAAGACCTACTGGGTGAAAGGGAGCTCCAACTGATAAGCTATCAGCAGTCGCGGCAGGAGAGAATGCACGTGATGGCAGGGATGAAGGAGGTGACGTTGGGTGAGATTGCATCACCTTTCCTATCTGCGAAGATTAAGGGCCGGAAGGAACGCACACAAATCACGGAGTTAAACGTGGGAGGCACTATGGTCAGTGACAATAAAAGCATTTTGGGTGCAGCTTCGCAGTACTACCGGCAGCTGTTTGGAACAGACAGACAGTCGGTCTTATCTGAGTGGGAACCCCCGGCGGACAGAAGATTGTCGTCGGCAGTGGCGGAGTCGTTGACTGCCGAGTGGTCGGAGGAGGAGGTTAAGAGCGCGTTTCAGTCGATGACGAAAAACAAGGCTCCTGGCCGGGACGGCTTGCCAAAGGAGCTCTTTGAAGTGCATTGGGACATCCTGGGCAAACACTTCATGTCGCTGGTGAAAAACTTCTCGGACACGGCGTCCCTCCCAGCCTCCACCAAGGACGCGGTGACCATCCTGCTGCACAAGAAAGGGGGGAGGGATCAGCTGGAGAACTATCGCCCTATCACATTGCTCAGCTTCACCTACAAAGTGATAGCGCGGGTGGTAGCGGACAGGATAAAGAAAGTGCTCTCGGAGGTAGTCTCACCGGAGCAGTTTGGCTTCTTACCCGGAAGGAGGTTGTCGGACGCTGTGGGGCTGGTGGCGGACATTATCGAAGCGGCCAAAAATAAAGATAAAGATTGGTACCTCCTGCTCGTTGACTTCAGGAAGGCCTTCGACTCGGTGTCGAGGGGATTCCTGTTTACGGTGCTGGAGAAGATGGGCTTCCCCCCCCGTTTTGTCGGTTGGATTCGAGGCCTGCATGAGAACACACGGACAAGCCTGTTGGTTAACGGTTGGATTGGTGAGGCAGTCGAAGTGGTCTCGGGGGTGCGTCAGGGTTGCCCCCTCGCGCCTTACCTGTTTTTGTGCGCGGTGGAACCGCTGGCGCAGGAAGCGGCGAACCGAAGGATAGGCATTTCCGAGGGTGATCAGCGGCTGGCGTACCTTGGTTATGCCGACGACACAACTCTTATCCTGGAGGGGGAGGAGCAGATTGCAGCAGCAGAGAAGTTGTTAGAGGAGTTCGCAGGGGAATCAGGCCTCGCTACTAACAAGGAGAAGTCAGTTGTCTTACCGCTGGGGTTGAATCTGGGCAAGCAGCCCTGGAAGACCGATGGCTTCAAATGGGCGAAGGCTGATGAGGCAGAAAGGCTACTAGGAGTGTGGGTGACTCCTGCCGGAAGCTGCAATCCCACATGGGAGAAGGCTTTCGCACAAATTAAGCGGAAATTGTCGCAGTGGGAGGCGCAGCACCTCACAACCGGCGCGCGTGCTGCGGTGATAAACTGCTACATCTCACCGATAATCTTCTTTCAGGCTCAGGTGTACCCGCCACCGGTGGATATTTGGGGGAGGATACTGAAACTGACGCACAACTTCATGTCGGGAAATCGGGCCTCTACCGACAAGGAATTCATACTGTGGAGTAGAGAGCTGCTGTACATGGCCAGAGAAGAGGGGGGCGTCGGTGTGAAGGACCCGGAAATCGCACTTACCTGCCTAATCGCCAGAAAGATCGGGCTGCTGCTCACCGAGACAAATGCGCTGAAACGCGACATCATGCTCCAGGCTGCGGACTTGCCGCTGGGAATGGATACCTTCGTCGCTCACGTGAAGCTGCTCAAATGCTGGCGCGGGAAAAGCGAGCGGTGGAAGCTTGCGTGCGCTAACTTCATGCAGTCGCCGCTCGCCAGCACGCCGCTTGACTTATCACGGGAGGAAGTGGCGAGGGAAAGGATCGTTTTCAATCGCCATATCCTGATGAAAGGCACGACCCCGGTGGGCAGCCAGAAAGCCGCGGAGAAATTGTGGGAGGTGCGTCTGGGAGACCTGCTGACTGCGGGCGGTGACGGGAGTTGGCATGTAAAGGATGATAAAACCCTAGCGAGGGAGCTCGGTGGCTCAAAGCAGGCGAAACTTGCTCTACGGGCGTGGGAAGCAGCACCGCAGAGCTGGAAGCTGCTTCTCCTCTCAGCCGAGCAATCTGGCGCACCTGCCACCCAGCTCCGCACTCCGCTCCAGCGCACAGCGGCTTTCAGTGGCGGGGGGCTACCATCGCTGAAGGAGCTGAAAGGGAACTGGCAACAGCCGAAACATCAATCAGCCAAACGGGAGCTCTGGGCGGGCAGATGGGCAGGAGTTATCGACTGGAAAAGGGTTGTGAAAATTCGGGACTCGCTGGTGACACCGAACCGACCGCGTGATGTGCTGCTGAGAATCCACAGTCTCAACCTCCAAGTGGGAGAAAGGCTTTCTTTCTTGAGTGGAAAGCCGATCTGCCCGCACTGCGGGGAGTTTGAGACCCTTGAACACTGCCTCTACACCTGTCCAAGAATCCAGACGGTGGTGGGGGCAGTTCGGAAGGCTCTGCGCATGCTGAATCCGACAAGGCAAGTTGACAGCTTGGGTGACATACTGTTTGGCAATACCGCTTCCACCTCAGCTTTTCCGGAAGCGTCTCTCTCGGCAATTGCAATACACCAGATTTGGGCAGAGCGGTGCGATTGCGTGTTTCGAGGCAAGAGATTTCGAGCCAGACGGGTACTGAGGAGGATTGAAGCAGCTTTCAAGCTACATGTGCGGGTGTATACCCGGGCAACAGGGAAAAAGCTGGGCATGAAGGGCAATTTGAAACAGAGCGGGAAGACGTACGCGCTGGCAGATCAGGAGTGTCGGCTCCTTGGACGTATCCGGACTCTGGAAGGCAAAGGCTGGAAATGGTCCCGTCACTTTGGCGCGCTATGGAATCTTGCGCGAGGGGCACTACATCCCCCTTAGAGTCATCCCTTGAGGCAGGCGCGCTGCCGGGCCTCTCACGCTCAGTTACGACTGATATATGTTTGTGTGCACTAGCATCATCGGTGTATGTTTAACATATAATAATAAAAAAAAAAAAAGGAGGTGTGTGTGAGGCTTCCGACGAAAGAACTAATAGCTGGCTTCAACGTAATTGGAACAGCTAGAAGTGTGGTGTAATTGTAACAGTAAGTGGCTAGCTAGACATACACTAGCCAATATGAAGATATGTTAATTTTTACATTTGATTACAACGCTAGCACTGTCAATTTCAATCATACTTACGTTCACACATGCGTTAATGGGAGAATAATGCAATCCAAGTACCATCATTTACCCCGTATTACTTAACATAGTATATCACGCAGTTATTAACATGGATCACCCAACATGAATATAGTGAAGAAATTAAATAGGCTCGTAACTTATTCTATATTCAATAGGTATCGTTTTTTAAGAAGCAATATCTTTTTACCTACACCCAGCCCACGTTAGGTTGCCTCGCTGAGCGCAGTTTCCTACGAAGCACCCTTCCAGCAAAAAGGCTCAAGTTTCCAGCGAGGATTCGTCTTTCGCGAACAGCAACTCACGCTCGCGACGAGCACCACCACCAGCGGCAACGTTCGCTAGCTGCAAGACTGCAAGAGGAGGAGCCTTCGCCAGAAAATACCATTATGTTGACCAAGGGGAGAGGAGTTAGCTGAGAGGTCTGGTTACTTTTTCTGGCTTTGGCGCGTGCGACTCGAGGCTGGGGGGTTGTATTCTAAAGCTATTTCCACGGTAACCTCCTTCCGCGCAGCCGCCTATTCCACCCCCCCCCCCCCCCCCTCGCGCCCCTTCCCCCCTTCGCCACAGTCTCCCCGATGCGGCATCGTAGCTCAGAAGTGTGCGGGAGTGCGCCCCGGAGCAGGTTCGCGACTCGGCGTCGGCCGTCGACGTCATATGGAATGGCCTTGTACTATAAATATCATCTCGTCCCGTCCAACTCCCTCATCATCCAGAAGCGTATCATTCCACCAAAGTCTCACACTCACATCTGCAATTGCAACCACTGTGACACAGCTTCCCCGGACATTGACGGCCATCGTTAGGTCCTGCCGTCTATCTCCGACAACTTGAATGGCGACCGTCTACTTGGCACTTCAGAGCCGTCCATTGGAGCCAGTTGGCGTCGGCTTTACCAAGTTGAGCTTATTACCATAGTACTTTATTACCATAAATTCATCCCTCTATTCCGGCGATAGTACACCGATCGATGGCTTCGTCGAAGCTTCTCGCCCTCGGGATCGTCCTGCTCCTCCTCATCAACCTCGCGACCTTCGCCGTCGCCGACGCCGACGACGACGACCGCCCGAAGCGCGAGAGAGAGCGCAAGAGGGACGGCTCGGGCAACCGCGACCAGGATCGCGACAGGGACCGCGACCGCGACGGCTCCTGCGGCAAGTCCGGCGGCTGCGCCGGCAGCGCCAGCGGCAGCGGAGGCGGCGCCGGCGCCGGCAGCAAGCAGAAAGCTGGCGCCGGCCGGCAGGGCGGCGGCGGCGGGGGAAGCGGCGATGGCGCGGGTGCGGGTCGTGGCGGGCGGCTGGGCGGCAGCAACAGCGCGGGGAAGGTGCGGCAGGGCAAGAAGGGCGGTGGAAACTGCAGCGGCGGGTCCGGCTCGTGTAACGGCGGGGGCGGAGGCGGAGGGTCGGGGAGAAACGCGGCGGCGGTGAGCATTCACAGTGCCATGCAGGGCGGTGGCATGCAGAGCACGGGGTACGTGGTGGCGGACAACCGGGAGAGGGATCGCAAGAGGGACGGGTCTGGCGACCAGGACCGCGACCGCAAGCGCGACGGCTCCGGCTCCAGCTCTGGTTCCTCCCAGTGCTCCCGATCTGGCGGCTGCACTGGCAATGGCAGCGCCAGCGGTGCTGGTCGGCAGGGGTCGGGGCAGCAGCAGGGCCGCGGGCGTGGCGCAGGCGCAGGTGCAGGCGTGGGTGGTGGTGGTGGTGGTGCTGGTGCTGGTGGTGGTGGTGGTGGTGGTGGTGGTGGTGGTGGTGGTGGTGGTGGTGGTGGTGGTGGTGGTGGTGGTGGTGGTGGTGGTGGTGGTGGTGGTGGTGGTGGTGGTGGTGGTGGTGGTGGTGGTGGTGGTGGTGGTGGTGGTGGTGGTGGTGGTGGTGGTGGTGGTGGAGGACGTGCAGGCGGAGCGGGCGGCATGAGCGGAGGGGCGGGGCGGCAGGGAGCGGCGGGACGCATGGGTGCAGGCGCAGGGAAGGGGGCTGGCGCGGGGTTGAGGGGGAGCGGTGGGGGAGGCGGAAACTGCAACGGAAGTGGGTCTGGGTCTGGAAACTGCAATGGGAGTGGTGCGGGCAGGAAGGGAGGGAGGATGGGAGGACGTGGGGGCAGTGACGACAATGACGGTGATGACTAGATTGCGTTGGTGGCCTTTGGAGTGATTCTAAGTGCCTGACAGGGATGGCTGTGTGGTGGTGGGGGACCTTGGAGAAGATTCAGCAGCATTTTGGAGCTGGAAGGAAGGGAGTGCTGTGGTGCAGGAATGGAATGCCGGAGTAGTGGCTGTGTGGAGTGGGGGTAACCGTGGAAAGAGATACGGTAGGTGATGGTCAGTGTGATATGACATGACATGATATGGTATCAGCTGACTTGTTGGAATGGTTGGGTGGAGGTGGGAAAGGAAGTATTCAATAGTGGTAGCTGGCTGGCAGCCTCACTGGTTGCAATAGGTGGACTGAAAGGAACGAAGCTTACTGGTCCGGTGGTTGCTTAGTGCCGTGTGTGAATTGAATCATGTTTTGCCTTAGCTCATCATACCGTATCATGTGCTTGCCTCGGCTTGCCCCTACTAATATCAACCGTTTGTTGAGGCCTAGATTTGCTGCTCAGGGTAGGGGGGCCTATTATATGGTGGTATACAGTATCTGCCTTACTATGTACTAATACGGTACAATAAGAGGACAGAAATATCTAGATGGTTTTCCACTCGCACTTTCAGGCCCATTGGGGGACGAAGAAACCCCATCGCTTTCTGGTAGGTGGTTGTTGTTTGCCTATCAACGCTTGGGTGGCGGTGACAGGGTGCTGTGCTGGGAGAAAGCAGTTTTGGTGGTGTAGGGACGGGACGGGATGGGCTGCTACCGGTATGGAGGTGCTTCAAAGCGGGAGCTAGTTGGGGGGTGGGTGGGATGGGACATGGATTCCAACCCGCCTTTCAGGCATACGGTATCTGAGAAAGGAGAAGCGCCATCGCCACGTGATAAAAGATTTGTTTTGAGACGTCTCAAAACAAATCTTTTATCACGTGGGGGGTGGGTGGGATGGGACATGGATTTCAGCCCGCCTTTCAGGCATATTTCAGCCCCCATACGGTATCTGAGAAAGGAGAAGCGCCATCGCTTTCTGGGAGGTGGTTGGTGGGTTCTTGCACTTGGGTGGTGGGGGCCAGGGAGAAGGGGGTTTCGGCGGGGGAGGTGGGGGGACGGGTTTCATAGGAGGTGGTTACAAAAGGGGTTTTAAGGGGTTGGGAGGGAAAGAATTCAGCCTGCCAGTCTGGCTCATCTCTGGGAGAAAGAGCGCCATCGCCTCTTGGGAGGTGGTGGGTACTTGCGCTTGGGTGGGGGGGGGGCTGGGAGGAGGGGGTTTTGGTGGTGGGGGGCTGGGCTTTCTAGGTGGGCTGGGAGGAGGTTTCAGAGGTATGGGAGGTGGTTTGGGGGGAGGGAATGGAGGGGGCTTGGGGGGAGGAGAGGGAGGGGGTCTTGGTGGGGGAGAACTTGTGAGTGATTTCAGTGGTGGGGGGCTTGGGGGTGGTCTAGGGGGAGGGGAGGGTGGAGGCTTAGGGGGAGGGGAGGGCGGAGGCCTAGGGGGAGGGGAGGGCGGAGGCCTAGGGGGAGGGGAGGGCGGAGGCTTAGGGGGAGGGGAGGGAGGGGGCTTAACAGTGGTTGAAGTCTTGGGAGGGGGGGAAGTAGGGCGAGGGGGAGGGCGTGGGGGAGGGGAAGGAGGAGGGGGTGGCTTTGGGGGGATTCGGGGGAGGTCGGGGTGGGGGAGATGGGGGCCCGGGGGGACTTGGGGGGGGCCGGGGGGGAGGTGAGGGTTTTGGGGGAGGCCGTGGGGGGCTTGGAGGGGGACGGGGGGGTGGGCGAGGGGGAGGGGAAGGGGAAGGGTTTGGGAGGGAGGGAGGGGGAGGCATGACAGCCTGGAAGCAGGGGGGGAGGTGGGGGAAGGAGAGGGTCTGATCGAAGTAGGAGAAGAAGAGAGTGTAGGAGGGAGAGGAGACAAAGTCGAGAATGTGAGTGGTGTCAGCAGCAGAAGCAGCAGGAGGGGAGGAAGCAGGAGCGGAGGCAGGGGAAGTTGTAGGAGCAGAGGCGGTTGAAAGGGCAGGGGCAGCAGCGGTGGCAGTGGGAGCAGCGGGGGAGGAGGCGAAGGAGGACCAGGTGTTGAAGGGCACGGGCAGCTGAGAGCCGTTGGATCGGAGAGCAGCGGTGGTGAGATTCCAGCAGTGCGACGGCAGCTGCGATGCAAATGACATGTGCGCCCACCCCCCTGCTGCCGCTGGCGCGAGGGCAGACCTGCAGGATCAGAAAACAAGCAGGAGGGGGCAAGGAGTTGAGAAAGCAGGTGAGGAGGTAGAAGTGAGGCAAAGGACATGTGGGTCCCAACCTCCTGCTACCACTGTTGCTGGAGGGAGGGCAGACCCGGAAGCATGGCAAGGAGCAGGGCAGGTTGAGTGGATGAGACTTTTCACACGTTTTTCACATTGTTGATCCTATTGCTCAAGCGTTAATTTCACGCTCTGCTGCCCTTCTAATATTAGTCAAGAAGACCCTTGGGACGGCAGATCTGGAAGCATGGCAAGGAGCAGGGCAGGTTGAGTGGATGAGAGGCTTCTGAAGCTGGGAAATCTAAATCGGGAGTTTCTGACTCGGGGAAAGTGGTTTAATTTCCTTTACAACCGTTCATGTGGCGCGGGTCGCAACAGCACCGCGCGCTCATGGTTCCCCAGCTCACGTGGCAGATGTGCGACGCGAAGAACGTGATCTGCGCCGCGGACCGAGCGCCATGCTCGTTTCGGAAACTTGGTGAGAAAATTGCTTCCGCACTCCGCCCTTGCTCGTTCCGACCTTGCTCGGTCCGGCCTTGCCCGTTCTGCCCTTCCTCCTCGTTCCGCCCTTCCTCATCCCATCATGCGTTTCCCCTCATCCCATCATCCATTTCCCCTCATCCCATCATCCATTTCCCCTCATCCCATTAGAGACTTTTCACACATTTTTCACATTAGAAACTTCTCCTTGTGTGAAACCCTGTGCTGTTTCCCTCACTGTGCTTGCAGATCTGCCACGGTGTGTCACTGCGGCCCAAGAGCATGAAGCTTCCTGCATCGCACCAGGAAGCTCCCTGCTCCGCCCTTTTCCTCGTTCCGCCCTTTTCCCTCGTTCCGCCCTTTTTCCTCATTCCGCCCTTCTTGCTCATTCCGCGCTTCCCCCCTCGTTCCGCCCTTCTTGCTCATTCTGTGCTTCCCCCCTCGTTTCGCCCTTCGTGCTCATTCCGCACATCCCCCTCGTTCCGCCCTTCCTCCGCATTCTGCGCCCCCCCCTCATTCCGCCCAATCCTCCTCATTCCGCCTTTCCTCCTCATTCCGCCCTTCCTACTCATTTTCTGTTTTCCCTCACTCACCCCGTTTTTTGTTTTCCCCCACTCACCTCATTTTCCCCACTGTTCATCCCACTCACCTCACATCCCCCACTGTCCATCTTACTGTTTCCCCATCCCTCAATGTTCACCCCACTGTTTCCCCATCCCCCACTGCTCATCCTACTGTTTCCCCATCCCCCACTGTTTCCCCATGCCCCACTGTTTCCCCATGCCCCACTATTTCCCCATCCCCCACTGTTCATCCTACTGTTTCCCCACGCCCACTATGCACCCCACTGTTTCCCCATGCCCCACTGCTCATCCTACTGTTTTCCCATGCCCCACTGTTTCCCCATGCCCCACTGTTTCCCCATCTGTAGAAAATCAGACCTATGTGCACAATGTGCACAAGGAGGAGCTGGTTCTGAAATGTTGAAAAGGGTCTACAAACAGAAAGTTAACTGAAGTGATGAATACAAGCAAAACAAAAGCTAAAATAGGCAGAAAGTGAAGAGAGCTAGCTTGGAGGCGACTTGGGCTGGTGTAGGTGAGGAATTTGGTACCCAAGGGACTTGGGGTGGCCAAATGGGTGCTCAAGTCGCCCACAGTCAAGATGGGGACGCGAGGGACCCTCAAAGTGGGCTTGGAAGCGCCCCCTCGAGTGGAACCGCGATTCCACGAATTGGAAACGCGAATTCCAAGCTGGAGCCGCGTTTCCGATGTTGAAATTCGTTGGTCCAGGCTGGAGCCGCGTCCCCAAGGTTGGGAAACGTGCTGGGGTGCCCTAAAGCCGAATTTGGGGTGCCTAGCACTTGATAAAGTCACTCAGGGGGCACCCTATAGCTAATATAGCCCAACCCCTATTGTGGGAAGGATGTGGAAGAAGAGGTAAGGAGGGTGCAACAATGAAAGGTCCGGGGTCGGCATCGGAGGTGTGAAGGCCAAATGTGAGAAGCTCCGATTTCAGTTTTTCATACCAACACCGAGGAGGCTGCTTGAGGCCGTACAAGGGCTTGTGCAGGAGGCAAACTTGAGGAGAGCCGTTGGCAGGAAGGAGTTCAAAACCGGGTGGTTGGGTCATGTAAATAATCTCGTCAAGGTTGCCATTGAGGGCATTGGAGATGTCGAGTTGATGCATCTCAAGATCAAGGGCAGCAGCATGGGTGAGGAGCAAGCGAAGCGTAGCAAAGCGAATGGTGGGTGCAAATGTCTCAGTGTAGTCAATGCCCTCACTTTGCTTGAAGCCTTTAATGACTAAACGGGCTTTATAACGCTCGATGGATCCATCAGGGTTCTCTTTGACCTTGAAAACCCATTTGCAAGGGATAGGAGTGCAGTCGGGCGGTTTGGGGCCTCGAGTTCGAATTTCAGACTTCCTTGGATGCGCCTTTGACCCGGCGTGACTTCTCTTCACGTCGCTTGAAATCTCGACATTTCAGCCGCTTTCTACTCCACTTCTGCACACTTCCCCTTCTTCTCTTCGATTCCCACTGCAGGTCGCGCCGCTACCGTGTTTCTCCTTCCACCGTCCCAACATAGATAGCTCCTCTTCTTCTTAGGTCCTCGTTTTCCCTTAGTCACGTCTCGTCACAGTAGGTCCTTCTTAGGTTGATGTAGGTCGCTCTAGGTAGTGGTTAGCTAACCACCTTCAACAATCTCCCCTGTGGTTTGCTAACCACCAGCTTATGCACTCTCCCTCGTACGTTTCACCTTAAACCACCTCTAGGCCTGCTCCACACTCCCCTGCAATTCAGCCAAGGTACGCATCCCAACCTCTCTCTTGCAACGCTCAAAATTTGCCCTTGGTAACACCTTAGTCAGAAAATCTGCTGCTTGTGCCTCCATACGTACAAATTCAAACTGGAACTCCTTGCTACGCACCTTTGAACGCACCCAATGATACTTCACATCCATATGCTTGGTCCTCCCGTGCCAATTGTCGTTGTGAGCCAAGTCGATGGCAGATTTGCTATCCGTGCGAATCACCGTAGGCCCTTCCACCTTGATTTCCATCTCCTTGAGTAGCCTTCTCAGCCAAACCCCCTCTTGGCACGCGAAAAACAGAGCCATGTACTCCGCTTCCGCACTAGAGAGTGCTATGTCAGCCAACCTTTTCGCTTGCCACATGATTGCTGTCCCGCCGAGCAGAAACACGTAACCATATGCTCCCTTCCTTGTTTTGTTATCGGATGCATGTGAAGCATCCGCATACCCCACTAACTCCAAGGTCTCTTCACCTCCTTCGAATAACAGCCCCTCATCTTCATGTTGCAGTAGGTAGTCGATAGTCCTCCTCATCTCTCTCCATTTTCTCTCCCCTTGCTGCTGCACTTGTTGCCCAAGATAGCTAGCTGCGTATGCCATGTCGACGCGCGTGCATGAGACCGGATACATGATAGACCCCACCATGGACTGATATACTTGCAGAGCCCTCTCTTTGCAGCCCCATTGGTTGACATCCTCCTCCCTTTCACTGTTGCTTTCAGCTACCCCACTCAATGGTGTCGAAATTGCCTTCGTGTAGCCATTGCCAAACCTCTGCTGCACCCTGCTGCAATTTTTCTGCTGGTATAGGAACATCTTCCTCTCCTCCTTACGTCGCTCCAGGTTCATGCCGAGAAAGAGTGTGGTCCTCGGAATCTGCTTCACTTGAAAAACTTCCGCAAGATGAGCACACACCTTCTCTACCTCCTCCTCTAACGCCCCTGCCACCAAGATGTCGTCCACGTATAGCACCAAGAACACCTTCTCCTTCCCTTCTCCCTTCCAGTAGAATGCCCTATCACACTCGCTTTTCTGAAATCCCCCTTGCAGTAACCGCTCATCCATCGCCATATACCACTCCCTAGGACTCTGTTTCAGCCCATATAATGCCTTGTTGAGCTTGCATTTTCTGCCCGAGCCGTCGTCATGCCCTGGTGGTTGCTCGAGGTAGATGTCCTCCTTCAACACCCCATACAAAAACGCGTTTTTAATATCCAGCTGCACCATGAAGTATTTTCTTGCTGCTACCACCTTGAGAAAAACCCGCGCCGTTGCCAACTTGCTCACTGGAGCGTAGATCTCATTTTGTTGGTAGTCTTTCCCCTCCACCTGAGTGTAGCCCTTGGCTACAAGCCTTGCTTTGAACCTTTCCAGCTGCCCCATATCCCCGGTCTTGATTTTAAAAATCCACTTCACTCCCACGGCTTTCCTCCCTTCCAGCATAGGTACTGTTGGTGCAACCCTACGGTTTGCACTCGGCTTGTTGTCCGTGTGCGTGAATGTGTGTGTGAATGGAATGGTATGAGGGCATGGGATAATATATATTTCATGCTTATAATTGTGTGTGAATGTTGAGTCATGATGTCGAGTGTGTGTGTCGAGTCAATAGCGAGTTATCGCTAGACGCGTGTTACGCGGTCGTTTGTGTCTCGCGCGCGGTTTCTATTTTGTCGTGCGCGGTTTCTATTTTGTCCTGTGTCGAACGTTCGGCATGTTGCAGGTGTGTGAAGCAGACCCATCAAGAACTCAAGGATGAGTTTGTGATGAAGAGCCCGAGCCTTGGTGTCAAGCCTCAAGTGATTTCGAAGCTCGCCAAAAGGGTACACCTCAAGATATTGAAGATAGTTACATTACTTTGTGTAGTGTAACATTTCACTTGGTGTAGGCCCTAGTGAAGGGTAGTTTCGAGACCCTTCGTGGTTGGGGACAGTGTGGCACTGTTCCACATCACTGTACCTCGGCTCTTGGGGTTTGTAGGAGCTGGGAGTCATTCCCAACTCGTAACTCTTCCTATCTTGTGTTCTAAGACTATAGTGGCTGCCATAGTACCGTTCGTTCAAACCGACGCTGTGTCGTCAATTCTTTACCAAATCGTGCAATCTAAATTGATAATTGTAGACGACGTGAAGACGCTCCAGATCCAATTTGAATCAAGTCATTTGCAGCTGTGAGC